TTGACGGGCTAACGAGCTTCTTGCCACCAAAACATTTAGCCTCATCACACCCCGGTGCTCAATCCATATCTCTCAATGAGGGTGCATTCACACCAGCCATGTTGTCCTGAACTCTGCCCGTTTGCCTAGAAAGGCCGGTTCGTTTAGGGAGGTGTGAACTCGCCATGGAACTCTGGCACGAAACAAAAAGGTGAACTCTGGCCCGCCTAAAGACCTAGGTCTCTGTCCGGTAGAAGAAAATGCCAGCGCGGTTCAAGTACAGTGTGAATGCAAGCAGACCGGGCACCGCTCCGCAAGCAGGAAGTGGAGTACAGCGCAGGGCAAACAAACACGCATTTCTCTGACCTCATATGGAGCCGTCAGCTGTCTTGTGTGAAAAACAACATTCTCCATGGTCTTCTGCCTCATCTTCCACTCATGCCGAGTCCATGGTTGAAAAATGACAAAATAGAACTCCTAAAACCAATAAAATTGGACACCACTCTGTTTTTGTTTTTATTTCCAGAAGAAGAAGTGTCTTCAGAGGTTTTTGTCGTTTCTTTCAGTAGTTCTTGGTGCAGCGCCACTAGGGCTGGTGCACACTGCTTGTATCATGGCAGGGGAAACACTGAATGTATCGACCACCGATTTATGGTCAAGTCTGACTGTGGAGCATGACCTGAGTCTGACTGTGCACTATATTAACAGATACTGGGAACGGTGCAGCTCAAACCTCGAGAGCAGCTGCTTTCCTGAGGATCAGGAAATTGTCTGTTCTGCTCAGCTGTCCTTTCAGGAAGCATTTCATTTGTTTTCAGCATTTGTCACAAGTTTTTGAAGTTATAGCTCATTTAAAGGCAACATATTTTTTTCTTGTAGGTTACATTTATGCAGCTCTTAAGTTTTAATTTTATTTAAGTATTTTTTTTTGTTTGTTTTTTTGGAACTGCACCGGCACTTTAGTTTTTGTGGTGGATTTTGTTCTATATTTTGTGGAGACTTTTTCAATCTAAATAACAGAAGGATCATTTTTATTTATTATTTTTATGCTTTAAGACTGAATACTTTAAAGTAATTGCGGTAAAATTAACCCTTGTTTTTTGTTATTATATAATACTGCAAAGCAACAAGTTCATTTTGTCAAATGAATAACTATGATTTTATTTGTTGTTATATCACAAAATTTATCCTTATCGTCAGAATGCTCTGAAATATCACGATATTATATATGGGGGAGTGGTGGCGCAGAGGTTAGAAGATGGGCTTGTGATCGGAAAGTCGCAGGTTCAACTCCCGGTACCGTCAACATCAAAATGTGGGTGGAAAAGGTGAAACACCCACACCTCCCTCCACCCTCATTCGCCCCACTCTGGGCCCCTGAGCAAGGCCCTTAACTCCCACCATCTGCTCCCTAAACAGGTCTCTCTTGAAAATGAGTTCTCGTGACTCACTGAGACTACCTGGATAAATAAAGGCTAAATGAAAAAAAACCCCCTAAGCACCTAACCTGAGACTACTTGTATAAATCCATCCATTTTCTTTACCCGCTTCTTCCATTTTGGGTCACGGGTGGTTGCTGGTGCCCATGTCCGGCAATCACTGTGCGAGGGGCGGAGTACACCCTGGACAGGTCTACGGTCCATCACAGGGACACATAGAGACAAACGAGACAAACAACCATTCTCTCACTCACACCTAGGGACAATTTAGAGTTACCATCAGTCTAACATGCATGTTTTTGGTCTGTGGGAGGAAACTGGAGTACCCGGAGAAAACCCACGCATGCACGGAGAGAACATGCAAACTCCACCCAGAAAGGCCCCCGGACCGGAATTTGAACCATTTTTAATAAACAGGTGTCAAACTTCAGGCCTCGAGGGCTGGAGACCTGCAACTTTTAGACGTCTCTGATGCCACACAGCTGACTCAAATAAAGAGGTCATTAGCAGGACTTTGGATAACTTGACTGCACTGAGAAGCTAATTCAGTCATATGATTCAGGTGTTTTGGACCAGCGGAACATCTAAAAGTTGCAGGACACCGGCCCTCGAAGCCTGGAGTTTGACACCTCTGGCCTACAGAGTCAACTGGTCTGTAGATGATGCCATAAACCTGGCCCTTCACTTAACCCTGCAGCATCTGGACTCCCCAGGAACCTACGCTAGGATCCTGTTTGTGGACTTCAGCTCTGCATTTAACACCATCTTTCCTGCTCTGCTCCGACACAAGGTTTCTCTGCTCCATGTACCTGACTCCACCTGCAGGTGGATCACAGACTTCCTAACAGATCGGAGTCGGTGTGTGCAGCTGGGAAAGTTGTCTCGGACACTCGGACTTTAAGCACATGATCTCCACAGGGCTGTGTACTTTCCCCTCTGCTCTTCTCCCTGTACAACTGTTGCTCCTCCAGCCATGACTCTGTAAAACTTATTAAGTTTGCAGACGACACCACCCTCATCGGGCTCATCTCGGATGGTGATGAGTCTGCCTACAGGAGGGCTCCCTCATCAAGAAGGCTCAACAGAGGATGTACTTCCTGCGACAGCTGAGGAAAGACAAGCTGCCGGCCAAGCTGATGGTGCAATTCTACACGGCCATCATCAAGTCCATCCACTGCTCTTCCATCATGGTGTGGTACGCCGGGGCCACTGCCAGGGACAGACACAGACTGCAGCGCGTTGTGCGCTCTGCGGTGAAGGTTGTAACCTGTAACCTCCCATCTCTCCATGACCTGTATGTTTCCAGGACTGTGGGGCGAACAGATCGGATTACAGCTGAGCCTTCTCACTCTGCATATGAACTCTTTGAACCACTCCCCTCAGGCAGGAGGCTTTGTTCCATTCGGACCAGAACCTCCCGCCATAAGAACAGTTTCTTCCCCTCTGCCGCCGGACTTTTGAACCCTCATCCTTTACTTTATAACTCTGCTTTGGTCACTTTATCACAGTATTTTAACTGCACTACTTTTATTTGCATGTTTTTTCTGAGTATTGTATTGTATTGGTTGGTGTACATATGTTTTCTTTTATCTTTTATATTTTATTCGCACCTTTATGTCGAAGCAAGTTCCTAGTCTGTGAATCATGTTCATTGACAATGGCAATAATAAACTGAATCTGAATATGTATTTTTTTTAAACCAGCCGTGTTACAGGCACTGCTCAGAAAAAAAACAATACTGTATGTATTTGTATGTTATCGATATGTATTTAATCAAAAGTTTAAAAAATCTTTCTGTGTAAATGTCTCATGGTACAACATGGACACCCGCGGCTTATACACAAGTGCAGCCTATGTACAAAATTATTATTATTGTTTACATTTGACACACATATGATTGTGCAGCTACCCATCCAGGCTGTCACATTGTAAAGTTTGCAGATGATACAGCGGTGGTGGGATGCATTACAAACAATGATGAGTCCAGCTACAGGCAAGAGGTGGAACACCTGGAGAGCTGGTGCAGAGAGAATAACCTTCACATCAATGTGAAGAAGACAAAGGAGATGATTGTGGACTTCAGAAGGAACAAAAACACCTACACCCCCCTGAACATAAGAGGATCTGCGGTGGAAGTGGTCTCCAGCTACAAGTACTTGGGTGTACACATGAATGACAACCTCAGCTGGAGCAACAACACCACCAGCCTGATGAAGAAAGCTCATCAGATACTCTACTTCCTCAGACGGCTGAGACGAGCTGGTCTGGGAAGCTCAGTCCTCACTTCCTTCTACAGGTGTGCAGTGGAGAGCATCCTGTGCTTCAGCATCAACGTGTGGCATGGAGGCTGCACAGCTGCAGAAAGAAAAGCTTTGCAGAGAGTGGTGAAGGCTGCACAGAAGATGTTGGAGTCAGTCTCCCCACCATCACAGACATCTACACCTCCAGATGCAGGAAGAGGGCCACCTGCATCATGAAGGACCCCACCCACCCAGCACACACACTTTTTGCCCCACTCCCCTCAGGAAGGAGGTTGAGGAGCATTAAGTGTAGAACCACTAGACTGAGGAACAGCTTCTACCCTGAAGCTGTTAGACTCATGAATCTCTAACTAGAATAATCACTGTGAAAAACCATATCATGTTGCTGCTGATCTGTTTCATGTTGCTGCTGATCTGTTTCAATGTTGATGTGTTCATGCGTGCACATCTGCTCACAGACTCATGTTCATGTTTGTGCTGATGTTCAATGTTTTATGTTATGAGTGCTTAGTGTATATTTAGTTGATGTTTTTCTTAGTTCATATCTTAGATGTTATTACTGTTTTTCTTATACATTTTATTGTTGGATGTAACTGGGACCCTGTGTACATAATTTCACTCCACCACATGTACCACATGAGGTGCGAATGACAATAAAGAAACTCTGACTCTGACTCTGACTCTGACTTAGTGGGCGCAACTTATACTTGGGTGTGCTCAGTAGTCCAGAAATTACAGTATACAGTGTATATAGTTACCAGAAACACAAAAATGTTGGACTTAGCTGAAAAAAGCTGAAAGGGGCACGAAACAGTTGAAAAAACAATTGAAATTAGCTGAAGTAGTAGATTAAAAAAAATAAATTCACAAGAAAGCTGAAAGAAGTTTAACCGGATCTAAATGTGAAAGTAGTAGTAAAAGGTTGTAAACTGATCAAAAATTATGAAAGATGTCAAATGAGCTCAATTCATTTTCAATGGGGAAGAAAATGGCGAAAAAGGCTAAATATCTCAAAAAGCTAAAGTTGCACCAATACCAACAGTCATAGCAGTCATGTCCTGAAACAGCTGAACGTTTTGATTTATGATTTGTTGAAATAGCACAAAAACTGTGGGAGTACCATAGTTGGATGCCGAAAAATGTAGGGAAGAAAACGTGGATCTCAATAGTGTGATGCCTATTAATAAAAGTTAGGTAAAATTTTAAACACCACTAAAAATGGCTGACTCACTGTTGACACAGCAGTTTTCCACTCCACTTGTTAGTTGTCCTAATGAATGCTTGAGCTGATTACATCATATTTTCTGTTCTCTTTTTGCAGCTCAGACAGCTCTCCCGTGTAAACCACCCGAACATTGTGAAGCTGTATGGCTCCTGTAAAAGTCCTGTGAGTTTGGACTTTCATGTAATGACTGAAGCGTCACTCTTTGTCCTGTAGAGATTATTTTATGGTCCTGTTTCTTCTGCAGGTCTGCCTAGTGATGGAATATGCAGAAGGTGGATCGTTGTACAACGGTAAGTCCAGATGTTTCCCACATAATCACTTTATTGTGTTAAAGATGTTGGCCTGTGCTGCACTTTGCTTTTGGTAAAATGAGTACAACTTTGCACACGACGAGCATATTTGTTGAGTCCACAGTTTTCATGATCGGTTGTTTGTCTGCTCGACTGTAGAGCTGCTCCAGTTGCAGTCTTCTTGGTGTGCCTGCATTTAACAGTAATTATTGGACTTTGGAACCAGTAAGAAGTTAAACGCAGTAATAATTTCTGTCACACAGAGAAGTCTGCATGGAGAACATGCTTGTAGAAGCGTTCTCAGTAGGTTTTACTCTGTCCAGCAGAGTAATTCAAAGTAATTTTATATTTTGTGTCAGGATCTTTAACATTTAAAATTCATTAATTAATTAATTTTGAAGATATGATCTCCTTAGGATCAAGAGATACTGACCGCTGAAATTTTACCAACACACTTTAAGGAAATAATTTAAAAATGTTAAATTTCTTATTTTCTTTTTTTTTTTGTAAGATATATTTATTGAGGTTTTTATAGCAAATACACACAAATTTTTTAGTTATAGCATATATAGAGAAATCCCGACTTTTCTTCCATTTTCCCCCTCACACCATGAACAATTTCAGTAGAACAAGTAAACACACAGCAGGTTCTACAATAATAAAAAGCATAAAAAAAAGAAAATACAGACAAATCAATAGAAAAAATAAACAGAAGTATAAATAAATAAATAATAAGGTGCCATGTCATCCCCTACGTAATTATAAAGTTGAGGCCTGTGGGATCTTGTCTGTCCAGGAGTGGTTTCCATATATTAACAAATCCCTCGCTGTTATCCCGTAGGGTGTAGATCAGTTTTTTCAGTGGAAGTATTCTCAGAAGCTCCTTATACCAGTCACTGAATGTGGGGGCTTCCTGTGATATCCAGAACTTCAGGATGGCCTTTGCAGCATGTAGACATATTTCTATCATTTTAGTGTTCTGGGTGTTCTTTGCACTGTCCATTTTAGCTCCCAAAATACAAGGAAGGGGTGATAAATCTAGGTCATACCCCATCAAAGAGGTCACCTCAACCTGTACCTCACCCCAAAACTTCTCAATTTTTATACATTTCCAAAACATGTGTACGTGCCAGGCTCTAGATTACATTTACTACAGGTCGAAGAGCCCAGCCCCAGCCTGCCCCTCAGTATCGGCGTAATGTGGAGCCTGTGCAGTATTTTAAATTGTGTCTCTGTCCACATTACATGTCAACATATTATGTGTTTCTCAAGATTGATGCCCAGGTATCACCCTCGATATGCCAATCTAAATCCATTTGCCATTGTCTTGGTATATAATCACAAGAACATTCTAGATTTCACCTAAGTTTCTCACAGATATAATATATAAATTTCTTTGATTTGGTCCTAATAAGAATGTCTTCTAGAAATTATGTCTTTGGGGCCCTAGTATTTTTATGTATAATGTGCCTCAGCTGTAGAAAGCAGTAGAAGTGAGATTGTTGCAAGCTATATTTACCCTTCAGGTTTTCAAGAGATTCCATTGCTTCTCCTTCAAAAAATTTAGCGAGGCAATTTAGACCAGGGGTGGGCAAACTTTCGGACTCGCAGGCCACGTTGAGTTCTAAAATTGGAGCGAAGGGCTGGACCATAATACACGCCAGTGTTTGTAGTGCACCTCTACTGGGGAAATGCTGGAACTACATGTAAAATGACACCTGGTTTTTGTTTCCCTATTAAATTCAGTTTTTTAAATATAATTTGAACCAGTGACAATTTTAACCTCTTTTTAGGGGTGCTAAAGCACCCCTAAATTTTACCTCAGCACCCCTGAAAAATAAAGAATAAAAAAAAATGATAATTTTTCTTTTAATTGTCCAAATTTTGGACAATTTCGGCGGGCCAATTAAAATGCCCAACGGGCCATATACGGCCCCCCGGCCGGGGTTTACCCATACCTCATCTAGACCCTTATCTTGCCACACTTTGAACATGGGCCTGATATGGTGGGGGAAATCAGAGTTACTCAATACAGGGGCTAGCAAGGAGAAGTGATCCTTCAGTTTAAAATGTGTCTTAATCTTGTTCCATGTAATTACTGTGTTCAGTACTAAATAATTAATAATAATAATTAGGGATGTACTGATCCACTTTTTTTAATTTATTTTTTTACTTCCGATCCGATCCCGATACCTAAACCTGACTATCGGCCGATACCGATCCAGTTCCGATTTCATGGTCATCATTGATTTTATATGAGGCTGTAATAATCTCCTCTCAAGTACAATTTGTATAAAAATATGCATGCATGTCCAAAAAGGCAACTTGAGGTAAGTTTTATTAATGTTTGATAAATGTCAAAGGTAGAATTAAATTCTGGTAACACAAACCGTGTTTTTTTTTTTATTCCTAGCTTTGAAGTGGATATTAAAGTGATTAATTTAAGTGATTGTTCAAAGTTATTTTATATTTTTTTAAATAAGGGGCAGATATAAGAATTTTTTTCTTCTTTCTGCACTCTTTTCATTCAATGTTTTCTTTGTCACGAATTTGTTGTTTATTTTTGTTTCTTTTAAGTAAATTAATAAATGAATTAAATAAAAAAATGGCTTTAAACATTTGCTAAGTTCATGGCATAAACCAACAGATATGTTCCTGTTTTTAGTATTTTACATCACTTTATAGTGTAGCTGTTTTATATATATATATATATATATATATATATATATATATATATTATATATATGAATATATATATATATATATATATATATATATATATATGAATTCATATGTTTTTTTATGATTGTCTACTGTTGTACTGATAAATATCTTCTGGAGAGTAAACTATCTTGGCTGCAAGTATCAACCTGCGAAATCCTTCATTTTCTACAGCTGATAGTGGTTGGTCATTAATTATGAAGTTTAGCAACTTCTCGGTAAACATTCGAGCTCCATGGATTCAGCGATGTCGTCTTCTTGTTCAATCCGAAGCAAGCAGCCTGATTTCGGTCAGCCGCGCTCAGTCTGCCCCTCCTCGGAGACGGGCAGTTTGGACGCGGCTGGCCGGGGTTGAGTTGCCTGTTTCGGTTTGAGCAAAGAGTAGCGCCCCGCTGAAGCCACGGAGCTCCAACGTCCAACGTAAAACTAACTATACCGTGGTTTAATGTGGTGCTATGGCTCTGCAGACATTGCACGTTGCTGTCTTGTTTTGTGATATTTCTAGTGTAAAATACTTCCACACAGCGGACATGTTTCGATGAAAAGTTGGCTAACTGTTAGCCACAGTGCTGCTAACTCAGTCTGCATGTTGTAGCTGGCTGCAAACTATGAACTGGATTTCCTGAATGTGAGGCGGGTCTTATTACTCTGGGTTCATGAGACACGCCTCCGTTCAGGAAATCCATTCCATAGTTTGAAGCCAGCATACATCATGGATCGGAAATCTCTGCAGGTTTGATCGGAAAAATCCGATATGTAAATTATGCTGGTATCAGAGGCCGATATGGATACTGGATCGGATCGGCCCCATCCCTAATAATAATAATAATAATAATAATAATAATAATGTCATCACAATGTCATCACTGTATGTTTCCATACAATGGCGAAATTAGTCTCTGCATTTAACCCATCCACCACCAGGTGGTGCAGTGGGCAGCTATTGAAAGTGCCCGGGGGGCATTTTGGGGATGAGGTGTGCTGCCCAGAGACACCACAAGGTGTGCAGTGACCGGGGATCGAACCTGGGACTTTCGGGTCCCGGGCCGTCTGGCCTGCCTCCACACCATCTCGGCCCCCATTATAGTTTTAGACCTCAATTTTTGCTTTCTTATAACTAACAAAGGGGCAACCTTTTAGGTTCAACATACCACAGTTCTTGGAGTCTACATCAATCCATGTGTTCGTACTATCTGGATTCACCCATTCTTTCAGATATCTTATTTGAGCCGCCCAGTAATACAAACGCATGTTAGGGACTCCCAAGTCCTCCTCCTTTCTTACTTCTTTGTAAATTACCAAATTTCATTCTGAATTACCTAATTTCATTCTGACCTTTTTCCCTTGCCATATGAAATGTGTAAACACCTTACTGAGATTTATAAAGAAGCTGTTTAGTTTGGTAGCATTTGAAGACAGTATATATGTTCATTTTGATCACACTCATCCTACCCAACCAGGAGACAGGTAAAGTTCCCCACCTAAGTAGAGCTTCCTTTACTGCAGCCATAATTGGTTCCAGATTAAGTTTAACCAGTTTTTTAAGAAAAAGGCTGATTCTTATTCCGAGATAAGTTATTCCTGCCGGTGACGTTACTAGACACAATAGAGCCCGTCATAGCCCCAACAGGCATGACCCCGTTTTTGACAAATTAATCTTAAAACCCGATACGTGTCCGAATTGCTTTAAATATTTCATCAGATGGATGGAAGATGGATGTATCAATCTTATCCAAAAACAAAAGTACATCATGCAGCTGTGGCTGAGTGGTTAGAGCAGTTGTCCTCCAATGCAAGAGTTGGGGGTTTGAACCCCACAGCAGTCACATGCCGAAGTGTCCCTGGGCAAGACACTGACCCCCTTGTTGCCTCCGATGTGTGTCCCATCAGTGTATGAATGTGATAAATCACTGTTTAATCTCTTTAGAATGATTTTTTTTCAATTAGCTTTGTAGATATTTACAAACCGGATTCCAATCAAAGTTGGGACACTAAACAAATTGTGAATAAAAACTGATTGCAATTATGTGGAGATGGCAAATGTCAATATTTTATTCGTAATATAACATAGATGACAGATCAAAAGTTTAATCTGAGTAAATGTAACATTTTAAAGGAAAAATATGTTGATTCAAAATTTCAGTGTCAACAAATCCCGAAAAAGTTGAGACAAGTAGCAATAAGTGGCTGGAAAAAAGAAATTGAGCATATAACAAACAGCTGGAAGACCAATTAACACTAATTAGGTCAACTGACAACATGATTGGGTATAAAAAGAGCTTCTCAGAGTTTCGGTGTTTCTCAGAAGCCAAGATGGTAAGAGGATCACCAATTCCACCATTGTTGCGCAGAAAGATAGTGCAGCAATACCAGAATGGTGTTACCCAACGTAAAATAGCAAAGACTTTTAAGTTATCATCATCAACCGTGCATAACATCATCAAAAGATTCAGAGAATCTGGAACAATCGCTGTACGAAAGGGTCAAGGCCGTAAAACTCTACTGGATGCTCGTGATCTTCGGGCCCTTAAACGTCACTGCACCTCAACCAGGAATGCCACTGTCAAGGAAATAACAGAATGGGCTCAGGAATATGTCCAGAAAGCATTGTCAGTGAACACAATCCACCGTGCCATCCGTCGTTGCCAGCTGAAACTCTACAGTGCAAAGAGGAAGCCATTTCTAAGCAAGCTCCACAAGCTCAGACGTTTGCACTGG